ATAATAATCAAATTTATTTATAATAATTTATTTAAGTTTTCTTATTATTAAAAATTTTTAATTTTAAAAATATAAATCATAAAAATTTTAATAAGATAAGTATTCAAGTAATCTTAAATAAAGTTATTTATTATACTTTCAAGTATATATAATTAAATTTTTATATTATTTAAATAAATATTTATGAAGAAAATTAGAATATCAGATTTTTTTTGTTATATATTATATAAGTAATAATATAGAAATAAATATTAAACTTATATAAAATTCTTTTAATTATTTTTTTTGATATTATATTTTAAATTATTTATTCTAGTATTTTAAAATAATTTTCTTTGATTTTTATTTAATATTATTATTTAAAACTTGAGATCAGTCAGAATATGTTAAAGATTCTGTTTTTTTGAATCTTTTAATAGTATTATGAATTGTAAACTTAGAAATATCAAGTATTTTCTTTATTTTTCTTTCATTATAATCTTTTTAAAATAAATTGATTATTTATTCATATTAATTTTGAGTCAATTCATGTTATTTTTTATTAATATTTTCTTTATTTATTTTTAAATTGCATGAAAAAAGTTAAAAAAACAAATGCTAATCATGTAAACAAAGTTTAAACTAACTTATTTTAAAAGATAATTTAAATTTTTTTATTTAATACTAAATTTCAGGCTGATTGCTTTAATAGTAATTATGTTATATAATTTTAAAAAGTGATCAATGACTTTTGTTTAGAAAGTGTATCAATGCAATATGTTATCTTCTAATTCAATAGATATATAGAGAATTTGTGTTCTTTCATAAAATTTCTTGTATAATATATAAATTTTTACCTGTAATAATCAAAAAGTATATTTTCATGAGATTGTTATTGCTGCTGGTGTTGTTGTCCAGATATTGATAAAAGTGGCATTTATAAGAACAGTGATTAATTACTATTGATATTGGATCAAGTTGACAAAACTATATATATTAATATATTGTTGGAGCTGCTCTGAATTTATTATGAGTGAATGTGTGTATGTATATACATGTAATATGAATTTTGAATGTGTATTATATATGGATATGCATCAATATCGATATGGCAATGTCGACTATAACGATAATACTTCAGATTTAAGTATTATCGTTATGAGATGAAGAGATAACAAACTCAATTAAAAATTATCGTATAGTGCCTAAAACATATTGAATCTAACTTTTTCCATCGCGTCTTGCTATCAAAAATCCGGTTTTATGCTCATTTATTTATCGTTATACAATGTACGTACGCCTATCGCTATCGTCTTATACATACAATACATGTATCAATTTTACGAAAAAGATGAATGCAGAATTTATTGACGCGCTTTCGAGAGACTTTGGTAAATTGCTGCTGACTCCAACATCTTCAACATCAAAATCTGCATGCAATAATCACGATGTAATCATCGAAGTGGGCAAACCCTCCAATAAAAAATCATTTAATGCACATTCAATTATTCTATCTGCTCGATCCGAGTATTTTAGAAATGCTTTAAAGATTAATGGAAAAGAAAGTCGACAAGTTGAAGAAGATTTTGTAGAAATTGCTGCAAAGAAAACTCATTTTAAACGACAAATTATTAATTTGCTTGAACCTAACATTATTCCAGAGTATTTTAAAATTTTGCTAAAGTAATTAAGAAATTTATTTAACAGACTAAAAGAATTTGTTTTGATAAGCAGCAAATGTTTTAATTTTTATTATTTAAATTTATTTTCTAGCTATATTTATACAGGAAAAATCTCTTTTGAGCCGCACAACCCTGACGTGGTTTTGTACCTTTTGGAAAGCGCATTATATCTTAAGCTTACTGATCTCTACGATTTCTTGCAAACGCATCTCGTTGAAGATTATTCCAAATGGTTGGAAGAGAAATACGAATTGATACGAAATATCATTGAAGCTAATGATGGTAGAGATTTGAAAATTTTAACAGACTTCTGCGCAATGATACAGCAAAAAAAGTCAGAGGCCATATTTAAATCCGAAGATTTCGCAAAATTGGACAAAGATCTTTTGATTACTTTGTTGAAATACGATGCACTTGATATGGACGAAATTGAGATTTGGGATCGTGTTCTCGAATGGTGTTTAGCACGTCTTCCGAATCTTAATAAATCATTAGCAGAGTGGAGTGATTCGGATTTCAAACTCTTAAGAATTGCTATTGAGCCATTTATTCCACATATTCGCTTCTTTCAAATTCCGGCTGCTGCTTTAGATACCAAAATTTTACAATATCAAAAGAGTTTCCCAGAATGCGCTTTACGTGAAATTTTGAGTTTTCATTTACGTCCTGGATACGTACCAACTATTCTTCAATTGCTTCCACCCAGAATTCGTACTCACCTCGAAAAAATACCCGATTACAAAACTATCGATTCTTTAATTATCGACGACAGCCACGTAAATTGGTTATCCAATAGTATTGAAAATCTTTCATACGACACTATCAACAATAATTTTGAGTACAAATTACTTTTACGTGGAAGTCGTGATGGTTTCACTTCCGCCGCATTCTACAACATATGCGTAGACAATGGTCCTACAATTATTGTGATCAAGATCGCCGGAATTGGAGAACTTATTGGCGGTTACAATCCATTGAATTGGAGTAGTTTTGGTGGATTTATGAGCGCCTCAAATGCTTTCATTTTTAATCTTGGTAAGCAAAATTTGCAGGAAGCTGTTCTGAGTAGAATTGTGCAGGAAGAGGTTGCTGTTTGGTGCGGACGAGTTTGGAGTGGACAAGAATATGGTCCTTGTTTTGGGTTAAGTGATCTATCTATTATTGGGAAAAATTGGAAAGCCCAAAAAATCAGTTTTTGTAATCCGGCAAGTTATGAAAAACAGATTTTGTCTACTACAGATTATTTCTCTTTTGAGGAATATGAAGTTTTTCAGATTGTTAGAAAGTAATTTTTTAGGTTGTTAGATCAATTTAGGCAACAAAATATAGTCATTGTTATATAAAAAAACCTTTATAAATGCTCTCTTTATAAATACATCCTATATTTTGGTTTCAACCTCTAATAAAACTTATAAAATTGCTTTTTATAAATACATATCCTCTATAAATGATAATCAAATAACAATCTAATTATTAATTTGTTAACTTATTCTTTCTTATTAACTAAAATATATTACTTTTATGTATTTTAGAGATTTTATAAATAATATTATTACTATAGTAACTTAATTTTTTTAATTTCTTAATTTTGTAAATCATGTTAATTTTGAAAATCATTTTAATTTTATAAATCTTGTGTAATTTTACTAATTAATTTTTAGTTTTAGTATTACAAATTTCATTTATTAATTTTTTTTATTTATATTATATTTTAAATTTAGATACTTATTAGTTATTTATTAATTATTTATAAATTCTAGTCTAGTCTCTTATAAGAATTTTATTAAATATTTATTAGTTTTAGATTAGTTACTTATTTATTACTTATAAAGGTTTAGCTTAGTTTCTTATAAAGAGATCTATTAAATATTCATAACTTTATATAATCTTAAATATATAAATATAAATACTTAAAGACTTGAAATAAATATATTTGAAAGTTTTTATAAGATTATTTTGTAAATATTTATAAATAAGATAAAATATAATATGAATAGTGTAAGATTATTTTGTTAATGATTGTAAACAAGATAAAATGTGATATGAATAAGTTTTAATTTTATAACTTATG